CTGTATCTGTTTCGAACAGATAATGAGTGAAAACAGTAACGTAGATGTTCACTGGAACCCCAAGTTGAGGATTTGAAGGCCAACTTGAACAAACGCAGAAATGCTTTAGAACTTACAAGAGCATTTTGTCCAAGGCTGACACGGAATACTTCAACCTTAAGAGCATCAACAAGTGCTTCTTCCGTTTCTTGACTAATTTCCGCGTGAACTATTGCTACGTGGTCATTACACGCAATCACATTGCCCAGAGCGGAGAGACGTTCATCAACCCGTCGAACTTTTACCTGAAAAGGAATGTTGCTTGAAAAAATGACTAAGCGAAGGAAGTGTCATCAAGGAGAAGAACTGGAGAAATCTCTAAGAAACCTCGTCTGGCAGGGAATTCCTCAGATGCTGTAACTCTTGGTCAGTAGTGCCATTTGGCACCAATAAACCATGACGATTTCCTGAAAAGTGGAATTTGTTAAAGATGTGAGAAGAGGCAGACGTCTACTTACCCACAGTAACTCGACCAACAATACGTGTAGAAGAGATCGATGTATGAACAACAGGAATTACATCAGCTAGCTCGGCTTCAACAGTGCTGAAACTTCCATCTTTTTGGCACTTTTCTAGAAGAGAAAACAGTACCTGTAGAAATTCTGAGTTCCTCCGATTCCAACGAGACAATAGCTATTCGTCAAAGTGCAGAACACTCCTACATCATTACTTCCTTCATAATCAACACGAAGCGCCATAATTCAATGAAATCTTGAATGAAAATAACATGATGGGTATTATTCGCACTCGAAGTAGGAATTTCGCTTGAAGTGCCATGAGTAGGGAGGTATTTGGCACGGTGATCACGAAAATCATATTGTTTACGTGGGGGCGCCTTATTTCGGAGATACGGCACTTGTACGTTAGGGGGAAGAAAGAGGGAAAAACCGCAATTTTGTTTGAGAAGTTCTCTAGAGAATTATCATGTTGATCACCAATGTCGTATCTATTCCACATGGCAGTTTAATTGTAGATTTGTGATCTTGACCCCTAAAGTACAGCCTTCACCAGAGGCACACCTACGCAGAACGGAATTGAAATTCAGATTGAGTAATGCCCCCAGAAATAAATGTTGCGAATCAAAACCTTGTGTTCTGGCACCGCATGTTCACGGAAAGTCAAAAAGTTGCGGCCAACGAATTTGGTGTGATGTACAAGAATGACAGGCAATGTAACAAATGACGGAAAAGAAGTTATCTGAAATAGACCGTAGCTCATATATAGTAACAGCTGGTCTGGATAGTTCATATGAACAGACCTCGACGGAGAAAATTTGCCCATTTTGTGAAAAATTTGACCACTGCTCGCAAATCTTGTGCAATTTTTCGACACTAACGAAGATCCACCACGCACGCTAATCAGCAAATGGAAAGTGTTGTATACTGTCGTTGTCGTATTTTTCGTAAACTTTACAAACATTCCTTATTTCAGGTGTTTATTTTTCTTGTAAAATTCCCATCTTTAGTAGACAATGTGCTACTTGGAAATAAAAGAGCTCCTTTTTTTCAGATGTCTTTTTTGAAAGATATAGAGAAACTCGCGCAACCTGTATTTCAACTGCCTGATTTAGAAGATGAAGACATCGATGGTTAGCCATTGGTTTCTATTTACAAGTTATTGAGTAGTAAATCAGTATATAGTTATAGGCACTTCTTCCAAGGCTGTTTCTAAAACCAAATTTGCCGCTGATGATGAAGTATCTAATTTGAGGAAGAAAGTTATTGCATTGGATGTTGACAACAGTTCAAAATATGGCGGGACTAAGGTTTCTCCTAGAGAAGTTCTTTTTCAAATTAAAAAGAATCTCTAGCTAAGGTTTCTCGAGATGATATTTTTGATGATTTCTCTGGCATGGCAGGACTTTCTGATCAGCCTACCGCAGAAAACGAACATGAAGACTATGGTGCTGCTAGTGGTGAGAGTGATCTGGATGAGGAATCTGGTAAGAGTTGAACTGCATCATGGAGATTCTCTCAGAATTGTTGAGATTTTTAGTAGTAAAATGCTGACTTTGTTGAGCTTCGCACTGAAATTTTGCCCCCCTACTTAATGATGAAAACTTAGATATAGAGGAAGGCAAGACAAATGGTATTCAAAGAAAAGGAAAAAACGACGACGTACAAGACAGAGGCAGTGGTGAAGATCTAGAATCTGAAGATGAGCCTTCTCCGACGACCTCTGTAAGTTTTTAACTGATTCTCGTTCCTCTTGATCTGATGTGATATTTCTTTTTGAAGGATGACAGCGAAGGCGATGAAGACGAAAGTGAAGGTGAAGAGAATAATGAGCATGAAGAACAACAAAACGATGATGAGGGAAAAGCGGTAACCATGAAAGACCTCATGAAGAATGTAGATCAGGACAAGCAGCAGCGAAAAGGTTTTCTAATGCTAGTGTAAATTTTCAGTAATCACTGTTTAATCGCAGTTCGCTTTAGGAGAGTCTGTCCGTGCTCAGTCCGAGATATGGGAGCAATTATTGTACGTTAAAATCAAACTGCATGCTGCCCTCACAGCGTTCAACCAGCTACCTCGCGGACAGTTAGCTAAAGATCTTCTCAAAGAAGCCGACGAAGATACTGCAAAAAACCTCAAATTAGGTTCGGATACATCATTGTTTGTCCAATTTTGAAAGCGAAGAGATTATCAAAGAAGCTTTTCAACTAAATCATGTGTCTTTGAAAATTCGTATGTTTAGCCCAAAAGAATGCGCTGAAGTTGGTGTCCAGCTTACTGGAAGCAGAAAATCTGCTGCTGGCGTTATCGTCTTTCACAAAGTCAATAAATGGAGGGGACGAAGGTAATACTACGTGAAAATTATGGACGCTCTTATAACTCTACTATTTATGAGCGCTAGATTCTGACGATGAGGAAATTGAGAGCAGTGAAGATGAGAAAGATGACGATACCGACGGTGA